AAATGAAATCAATGAGTCTTGACTCCCATTTGCAACAACTAATCAATACCTTTTGAATTATTTTAATTGAAGAAATGATAAGTGTGAATACATTTTCCAAGGTCGATAAGATCCTCAGATCTAAACAAGGTCCTCACCAATATTTCGATTTTTGAGATTTTGTTGTTCAAATGTATCATCCTCTCAAAATTGTTTAAGTTTTGACCTACTTCAATTTGAAACAAGTAAGAGTGAAAAAATAAATATCCCGTGTCTCCTGAATCAAACTGTTCTACATGTACATGTGATAGGACTGCAAATATTCCTCAAAAGGGTATTAAGTTCAATGACTCACTTGTTAAAAACATAAATCCCATGTGTCAGAGAAATAAGTGACTGGACTCAATAAGTGGATAAGTGATAAGGCTTTTATCTTAGACAATGCAGTCTGACCATTTAACCACAGCTAAACCAATATCATATTTAACATTATATTGGATATGGATTAATCATTCAATATTCTGAAAGTGTAGGTAGAAAAATACTATGAAAATACATTTGTATATTTTTGAGATTGTTTTTTGAAATCAGCAGGATAAGGTTGCATCCAGGTAGTTGAACCTTTGAACCAAACATTTAAGTGATATGAAGCCTGGCAAAATAATATTATTAGGGATGACCACCATGTTGTGTGAAGGCCTGATGACATTATTATCAACTGGACAGAAAATGGTCTGTTCAGAGTATACTAGTACTTGCATCGAGGATTTAAAGATGCTCATTGTTCCATCTTGAATACTTATATCAACAGTTATTTTTCATGTCAAGAGTATTGGTATTCTTTTTGAATTTGTTCTTCAACATGTATTGCAATGTCTCCAGTATGAATGAAAACTCCCATCTTTTGAGTTTGGACTGTGATGATGGTTCATGAAAAGTAGAGAGATGGGGACATCATAAACACTGTTTCTTTGTTGTTTACATCATGCTAATTGCCTTGGATGTTAGAGGTTTATTTCCTTACAACCAGTTGGACTTTTTAATGTCCCCTCTAACCATGTTTTTAATATTTTTTAGTCTCTCTCAGTCCATTTGGCACTTAAGCCAACATATCTCCATCCATGCTCCCCATGTATCCTTTGTACAATCTTGTTCATATTTGAGACTTCAATGTCATAACATGTTCATTTTGAGTGCTCCGTTTATGGACAGTGCTTCATTGGTTCAAGTGCACCTTCAAGAGGGCACATATCAGTAGAGTCATTGTCATTGATAATGTATATAGTTCAGATTAGCAATTGATACATAAATAAGTCAATTGAACTTAGGGTGTCATTCAAGTGTGTCCTCAAATTGCCAATCAATAGATATGTACAATACAATACAATACAATACCATTCTGCAAATACTGGTTTTATTTATATATGCAACAAGACAAATATGTACTGAAGGTGCAGATTGTTCTTCTTATCCATTGTAAATGAGAGCCAAAGTTGGTGCCTTGATTTGAAAATTTGCCATTCCATCAACACCCACATCATTGTATCTCTATTCCTCTTTGGAAAATTCAAAACGAAATGGCCGCGTATGTTGTGATGTGGTTTATACAATGGCAATAGCAATATGAGAGTCCATTCTATACGTGAATGTCTTCGCAAAAGTACTATTGCGTTTCATGTAACATCTCTGTTACCTGTAGCTCTTGGGGAACTGTCACATGGTTATCATGTCATATGGTTATCATTTAACATACATATTGGCTCTTGATGGTGACAATTTCCTTGTAAATGTATTTGACTTGGACTGCTTCCTCTACCAATAGAGATATCAATGCAGGATTGCAGGCAGGGGACTAAATACCAAAAAGTTTCCTGAATCTCAGGAATATTTATACCACTGTGTATTCCAGTTATTGTACTTCAGTGTCATTGATTGATAGACATTATAGAATTTCCAATGCTCATTGTATCTTCTTTCTTGCAATCTCTGGTTAGAAATGAAGACATTGCCATGGTAGAACATGATGAGATCCAAGATGGAATACTGAGTATCATTGTTGGTAAGAAGTTGGAGCGATATTGACTTTTTTCAGCACTTCAAAAATGCAATTTTAAGCCTGACAGTTTCCCAAATGTACAAAGTAATTAGCTGATAGCATGTAGGAATGTAAAATCTTTAATAGGACCACGTCTATGTCTCAAATGTAAATACGTAATACTAAATTCACTTTACAGTCAATTCATTTTCATCTCAAATAGGGGTGAATCTCTTAACCTGACATGGAGACAATTTGCAATTCTCTCTTGTTGCGTCAGTACAAATTAAAACAGTTGTTTTCCTGAGCAACATTGCTTGTGATTAATCTAAAGGTCGGAACTAATTAAACAATCTCCAGGTGTTCAACAACTAATCTGATGAAACAGTGGAAAGCCTAACAGAGTTAAGATAGTATGGTTACATGGTTATTAATAAAAGTGACACTTAAGAATGGAAACAATGCTGCACATGTAAATGGCCGGTATGGAATCTATGGCAGTTTACATAAAATATGCTCAAAACAAAATATTGTATTTTATAAGATGAGATTGAAGTAAATTTGATTGACAACAAAAATATTGTATGTGGTAGAAACTAGTAAGTGTCCATGTTGTATTCTACGGGAATACGGTACATGTACATTGCAATTAAGAAGGATAATGTAACATAATAAAGATTGTCATCGATATATAAGTTTGAAATTGCTGTATTTGATCTTAGTCATAAAGTGTTGTTTTATGAGTCATAAAAAATCATTAATTTCTTGTCAGATCAGATCATGAACAGCTAAAGCTTCTCAATATGCTGACAATGTTTCATGTATCGGTACTTGTACATACAAAATCTTATCTAGCTAGAAGGAATTCAGCCTTCAACAGAATATTAAGTTCATTGTTTTAAATGTTTTGAAATCTCCCTTGAAAACATTTGTCTAAAACATATATTTTATGGCCTTGTATCAAGCCTCCCCCTCCCTCCCCCTCCTCCCTTTTCCCTATTCCTACTCTTAAGAATGATTCAAGGGGCATAAGTATAGACACCTTTTTCAAGAGTTTCATTTGTGCTTTAACAAAGAGTTTCATCTTATTGTTACTAAAAGCCTTTAAACTAAAGGGTATACATCACATGTATAACAGCACATTATAATATAAAAACATCAAGTTCAAGTGGATTAACCCCAGTAACATTCCATTCTATGAAAAAGTGTTCGGTTTAATCAGCTCAATATGTTTACAAACTGAACTACAATGCACATTGTTCTCCCAGAAATATTTTCTCAACAGGATAGTTAATCTTATTATACATGTTTCGTCAAAACATCTCAATATTTCATTTGTCATAGCAAAATATTTTCAACAGATTGACAATGGCATGTAATTTTAGAATTTTCAACATACAGGACCCAGTTGTTTTAAAAGATCATTGTTATTTTCCTATACAATTGGAATATTTTTTGTATATGAATTGAAAATTGGCATTGCACTTTGGAATGCCCTTCATAAGAATATAAATTACATCAACACAACGAAGTATTAAAATTATACTGTTGGTCTAGTTATTGGATCAATCAATAGCAGCTATATGTATCTCACACTGGAACGCCTTTCTGTGTTTTTAATGTAATATACAAGTTCGCCATCTTTTAATCTATGCCATGAAAATAATTGGGTAATGTAAAGAATGTCAATAACAGACATGGCCTTTACCTAGATGTCCTACTGAGCAACAAACAAAAAGAATTAAAATGCAGACCATGAATACAGATAGTTGAACAAAATAGCTAAGAATGATGATAAATATTATAAATAAAATAAACAACATTAAATAAATAAACATAGAATGCTAAGAAAAAATAATAATTTTAAAATAAACAAAAAATGCCAAGACTTAATGTTCTACCATCTCTCTCAGATAAGTCAGACCTTCAAAATAAATAATTATAAAAATAAACTAAAATAAATAAGCAAGCTTTAACTTAAGCTATCAATGAATCATGATTTATCAAACTTACATAAAAGAAAGTTTATCAACATAAAATGATAAAAAGTTTATCTAGTGGTTTTCAAGTTACCATGTACTTCAATTAGTAAGTGACACATCATTATATTTTAGTATTTTAGGATCAGATTTGGAGGCTGCATCAATTAATGGAGATAGATCATATTTTGATAAACTATTTCTACTCAACAGCCAAGATAGTCTTGCATCTAGCTCTGTACCCCTGTGCTACTTCCTGAATAGAGATAATCAATAAGTAATGGACACTTTTTTATAAGAAACATTAGTGAGTTTAAAATCTTCCTCGAACAATAAGCCAAAGAAAGAATCTCATTCAGAGAAAGACCTGTTAAAATGCACAATTAGTAAATATGTGTGTGCACAATGTGTATTCAAAATAAATGCATAAGTATGTCATATCAGTGTTGTAATATATGACACCCAAGACAGAGCATCAGCCAGCATATTAATTGGTAGCACGAAACACACTAAAAATCAAAAGATGTGAAATATGTCATTTAATAAACCATATTCAAATGACTATATGCTAAAGGTTATAGCCTTTTTGTGGAATCTTTAGATGAATGATGACAAGGCTGATGGCTTGTACATTTAGACAGAGGATTATTCTTTATACTAACAAGGACCAGGTTTAAAAATAACACTTATGTAGAAAGAATGGGAAATTGAATCCAATGACTCGAATAGAAACATTGACCATTCTGGAGAAATATCTGATGAAAATACACAGTTTATGTACATCATCGGTTATTTTCTTCAAAAGCTATCATATATCTGTTTCCCTCCTTCTAGATAGTGTGAATGACATATTTCACATTTAAATAACATCAAGGGAAGTTAATAACAATCACAAATAAGTATAGGGTGGGGTTATATATATCATATGTATATCACCAGCACCTGAACAACAGTGAAAGCATTAGCTAAAGACATCACAGCAATGCATGCTGGGATTACAAACCCACCTTAGTGCGGCAATCGGCAAACTTAGGCGTCGAGATAAATTTGGATCCATGCTGGAAAAATGGGGTAAAAGATAAATAAAAGCACACTATAAACCACATTCTCTCCAAACCAATGCAATAAGATCTTCAAAGGTTATATCATGAAAATCATTTTGCAGTGATACAATGTATTATATATGCACTGTGCTCTCTCAAAGTGCATTTGCACGGCAGTTCACTCTGTATGATCATGTTATACCTTGGTCACATTTGCTACGATTTTCACCACGGCGCCCGTCAGATTGAGTATTTTGTTCAAAATTGAAAATAAATCTGAACAAAACACTCAATCGGCCAGGCGCCGGCTGATGGATCTGAACAAATTTGACCCAGGCATTAGAAATGATCATTTGACAATATCACACATTATAAGTATCCATTCTCTGTATACGCACAGACAAAAGAAATGCTTTCTTTCAAATGGTTCAATAACTTGTTGGTGATATTTCTTGGGAGTTGTGCACTAGACTGTCAAAAAAGTTTAAATCAATAGCACAGTGTTATATAATGTATACATGTATGTTTTTTCAGGTATGTTATCTAAAGCAAAGGTATATTTCGGCTGATACATTTGACATTTACGTAGTATCTATTAATGGTACCAACAAACACTGACAGGGGGTCAGATTCCTATCATGAAACACATTTTAATTTTTGAACTGAAAATATCTTCCATTTTAAATGTCTGCATTATACCATCGCAGTAATATACCTTTGGAAAGTAAAACATTGCTCTTACATAATCATTATTCAAATAAAGGACGATTCTCGGTTTGGAGAACAGTCTCCCGGGCTAATAATTTTTTTCATGAAAAATATAGAAATATTACCCAAATTAAATTATGAATATTCAAAAGAATACATTTAAATCTACAAGATGTAAAAATAACAACTTGGTCTGAAGCAGGGATAATGCTCAATTAGACCGATTCAATAAAATACAAGTCTCGATTTGAGGAAAGAAGTTCATCAGTGTGCTGCGCTAATATTTTTTTGCGAAAAATCTAGAAATATTACCCAAATTAAATTATGACTATTCAAAAGAAGACACTCAAATCTATGTTATGTAAAAAAATTTGTCCGAAGCAGGGATAATGCTCATTTAGATTGATGAACTTCGTTCTCCAAACCGAGAATCGTCCTTTACAAAAATATAACCTAGCTCAGAAGTTAAATATACAAAAATAATGCACTTATTTCCAAAATTAGCATACTAATTTAGTACATTCATCACAACTTTTTCTTTTCCCTCTAAATGTATTTTATAAAGCAAATACCTACAGCATTACTCTATAAAGCTAGCAAAAGACTATGATGACATCTTTTAACAGATAAATTCTTCATATCGCATGTTGAGATATATCTGCTGAAGATTGTCAAAAACAACAAATTATGGCAAGAAGCATTGGTCGACGATAAATTATTATCAGTTAAACAGTATTTGTTAAACTCTAAGCATACCATTGCCTCTTTTTAACTAACTATGTTTTCTATAAAGGCTAATCATATTCAGTGCATATATACTATACTATAAGCATGCTCATTTGACCAAAACCACATAGAACACCTAGAACAAACTCCATTGTACAATGAGCTTGCACACATCATAGGCTAGCTAATGCAGCTACTTTTTAAATGATGATGGTCCCTTGACTTGTTGAGTTGATAATCCTACAAGCAAACTAGAGGTATGGGGTTTGGATAGTTCCCATGGGGTTTGGAAAGTTCCCATGGGGTTTGGATAGTTCCCATGGGGTTGATGATGAAGAAGACTGATCTGAATTTATAAACTGTTCACTTGATCACATGAAAAATATTCATTCTTGGGAGACATTTTTCACTGACCAGAATTGTATGTGAAAAAACTGGACCTACTTGAATTAGACTAGATGCCAGTAGAAATAATCTTGATTTATGTCATTAAAAATTCAAAATTCAGTCAAAGTGATATACTGATTTTTGAATCTACAATTAAACTTATAACTAGAAATGTGGCAAGGGTAATATGTAAAATCGAACCACTACAACTGATGAATATTTGAGTTTAAGGGAATTTTCCAAAACCCTGTGTTCTGTAATCTGCTCCGAATTAACCACCTGTTGGTGAAGCTGGTAACTACCTACTCACATCTGAGTTATTGACGAGCCAAATTAAAGTACCAAATCCTTCAATCCAACTTTAAAATAGCATTTTTTTCTATCAATGTTATAACTATCGATTGAGTGGTGTTATGGTGCCACAATCTGTCAAAATAAGGAAGTTTCTGTAATTTTAAATCAAAATACCCCAAATATTTGAATTCAAAATTATATGTAACTTGCAGACTTGCAACAGACTTTTTGATATAAACCTTCTTGTCTGCAAATATCAAGGCTTCAAAAAGTATTTCAAAATTCAATTAAACTAAAAGAAATTACATTGTGGAGTTTTGCTAAACTGAAATAAACTTTAACTTTAAAGTCTTCCCATTTTTAACTACATGTATGTACATATATTAGGAGAGTAATGAATTAAGTTCATCATTAATAGAGTATCTCTTAACACTACACAATAGTCCGACCACAAATGAACCTTATAGTTCTAAGAATAAGTATTTACAATCTACATGTGTACCTATTGTCACATTTCAGAGTATTCTGACATCACTTATCTTACAGTTATATTGGTAATCTATGCCACTCCCACGAGAATATAACGGTATATCACTTGTTCTACAGTAAAACTGTAAAGTCGAACACTAATCTGAGGAACTAAAGCCGTTCCACTTACATAGGCTTCACTGTATAACAAGAATCGAACAAATCAAAATTAAAGTTCAAGTGAATCCCATATATCAAAATTACAATATGACACATTCACAACAGGCAACAGAGAAAATGGTTACAAATATTTACGATCGTAAACATATTTGGATAATTAATTGGATTGCACTCTATGGTTATTTCTCTATGTTATCTATTTATGTCCTGTTTAGTAACAAATCTATTGAATAAATGATAACGAGAGTTCAGTTATATATTTCCTCATTTGCTCAATGGATCTTTTCTGCCAATATTAACGGGTTCATACAAATTGACTTTGAAAATGAAAGTGAGTTTTATTTGTACAGAGAACATAAAACATCTAAGTCAGTCAGCAGACCTAAGGCAAGGACATCAATGATATATTTTACTATTACAGACTGTTTACAACTGCTTAACTAACATATACGTTTGCAACTTCCCATACCTCACATAGCCCAAGCTGTATTCTAGCATCTAACCCATGTGCCCCGCCCCCCCACCCCACACACACCCTTCCCTTTCACACAGACTGCGAAGCAAGACTGCATGATTAAGCCCCTATTCACAAATAAGCCTAACCCACTGGGTGGTACCCTCCCCAACTAATGTCTCCGGGGTAGAGAATTATTGGGGAGGGAGATAATTAGATATTGGGAAGGTAGGGGTAGCATAGGCTTGAAGCAAGACTAAGAAAATATAAGAAAGAAGTCCATAGAGATTCTTACCTGACTCCATTGAATGGGCTCTCAAAATTCAATCTTTTTCTTATTGTCTTTGCAGTTGTCATTTTGTTTCAAATCATCCAAATTAATTCTAAAATACATCACTCATTATTATAAACAATCCCATCTTTTAGCACTATAGACTTTAATCCATACATTTGTCCATGTTACACTTCAAAGTAATATTGTTAAATAATAGATCCACAGAGCCCTGGTAGTTCTTATATTTTTTATCAGCACTTTGGTTTCTGTTTACAAATACTCAACCGTTACCAGTAATCTGTTTGTATTCTACATTTTTAATCTACTGCCCAGTGTATATTGAACTTATGTCTCTTGACATTCAAATACTGACTTTAGTTTGATTATTTTCAACATGATATTACTAAGTGTTACTTAGCTGTCAAAATAATATCTCAAATTAAATTAATGAGCTAAAGTAAAGTAAGTGCCATACGCCTGTACTTATATTGAATTTTTCTAAGGTATATGTTATTGTAACATACTCAATTACGAAAATCTTACATAACATATGTGCTGAGGGTATTCATTTCTAAACTTGAAGGCAATAAATATTAATAAAATATCTATGCAGGTATGTGTTTTCAAAATTACCACAATGTTTAGTAATTTAATAATGGTAAAATAACATCCTGGTGTTATGTATTGATGTGCCTCTGATAATATTATAAAATAAGGTTATTTATTTCATAGGTTTTGAAATAGTATATCTTTGAGAAAAAATTTAAATGTATTCTGATACTCATCACATTTATATTTCTCTTTTTTTGCAACCAGCAATAGAGAGGACATACAGGGTAACCATAAAGTTACAAAGTCTCTGTAAAGTATAAATAGACTTCATGGATACCCTGTACTTTGGGGATAATATCACTTTTATTCATGTGCAGTGTTATCTATTCGAACAATTTTGATTATTTTTCAAACTATAATATCACACATTATGTAATGGTAGACTTTTTGCCATAATTTTGAAAAACTACAAAATGAGGGGACTCTTAGACGTTTTCTTTTCAATCAAAAATCTACAGTTCATCTTAATCTCATTTGATAAGATGTAAAAGGCATAGATCACATTAAACCATCATTAAAATCAAACCAAAAAAACATCATTGATATCAAACCAAAAGTTACATCCCCTTAAAAATCCAGAATATCAATGTTAACACCCCTTCTCCAAATGAAATAAACATTATGGTTGAGAGTACGATAGTCTGATACGATCACTAATTCCTTGATATTAAGTAGAATCTCTTTCTCTACTTATGTTCTACGATCATGCAACTTGAAGGATTTATGACATTTTTTCCATTCTTACACCTAACTGTATAGAAATCTGTTACCCCACAGTACTTTATTATCATGAAAAAATGAAACGTTGACTCGTGAGACAATTCCAGACTGAAATCTGTGCAATATGAAGACGGATGTTAAGATAATTGTAGCAGTGTCAGAGTTCTCACCATTCCAGGATTGATGAGTTAA